CACAAGGCGCATCGTCAATCGAAGACTCCGCCAACTTGACATGCACGTCATCAGGTATGGCAGAAGCATAGTGGCACGCCACTTCTGGAAGTGAGCCTCAGACATAACGCAATGTAGATTAGCCAGGAATCTCTTCTTGTGCACCTTGGAGCCACCCCACAGGTACAAAGGTCCTCGTGAACTTGGTGATCGGCTATCATCATCGGAAGACATGATCAACAAATAGCTGCAAAAAAGGGAAGAAGGCCATGCGGCCTGAGACGCAGACACAACACCTTGGCCCAAGCCGAGCTGCAACCTGCCTAGTAGGTCACGACACAGCTTCCAAAAAAAAAAAAAAAGTAGCAACCACCATCAGGCTACTGCCATCAGCACCCATAGCAGAGGTCATGAGACTGCCCAGCTGCCGAACTGTAGCAAAAGCTGTGGCCCAGCAACGAGGCCCGCATCAAAGAAAAGCAGCAGCCACCGCCAAAGACTGCACCAGCCGCGGCTGTGCCGCCATCAACCCACCACTCCAACCACCACCTCATAGCAACAACTGGTTGGGCCAACCCTGCCAGTCCTTGTCATGAGCAAAAGAAAAAATAAAAGATTGCGGCTGCCGCTTCAACAGCTGTCGCAACGCCACCTTCGCTGGTGACAACGTCGGTCATGACGACAACCAGCAAGCCTTCACCATGAAGATGAAAAGAAGAAGGAAACTTAAAATTTGACCTACCTTGGTGTGCACGACGACTCCTCTCCTCGACAAGTAGTACACTCCTTCGGGCCTACAAAACAAAAACAATTCTAAACCTTATTTGCAAACCACTTCAAGTTTAAGACTCAATAACCATTAACAGATTCAATGATATATTTTGATGCAATTCAAGCACAACTCACACAGTTTATTTCTTGGCTACACCTAGGTTGCCTACGTACCCTTACTGAGAGATCAAGCCACACGTAGTTCTCTCAGTAATGATATTATTCGCATACAATCTAATAAATCAGTCTAAACCAAGTTTCAAATCGAACCTTACTTAAAGATACTAATGCCTGTGCAGAGTAGTCTCATTGCACAAACTCAAGAAAATCCAACTTGAATAACAATATAAAACTTATACTGACTTTCCCATCATTGTTCCCATTATTCCTTTATCTTTACATATACAGATTTCCTAAACACACACAATGGAATCCTCGACGCTCGTGCGGCAAACACGAACAATGGAATCCTCAATGCCCATGCGATTGGAACTAAATCCCCAGACACATACGACGGAATCCTCAATGTCCGTGAGGCTGGAACTCAAAACCGCTATCCCAAATCCCAAAACACAAGGTCATATAATTAGATAATGAAAACTCAACCCACAACCAAATTTCCAATAAACCAATAAACATTATTCATTTACTTAATAAATATAATAAACTCAGATGAACACGTAAGATATTTATAATAATAATCGGATATCTAAATAATCCAATGCCAATATCCAAACATCCCTTTTTCCACAACCATATTCAAATTCCAAGCTCCCACAGACAGTAACGTGATCCAATATCAAAACAAGCATCAATTCGCACTATCCCCACAACCCAATTTATATCACATATAACACTCACCCTTTCCTTCTCCTAATCTTGTACCCATTATCTATATATGTATATATCTATATTACACAACCCATACTGTCATCATGTACCAAGGGAAAACAATCCAACACGGGGATTTTTTTCACTAGACCACATGTCAAAATCCTCAATACTCATGTGTCTAGGGAATGGGTAGTTCAACCAGAGGACTATTGCTCCCCAGACATGCAATGTAGAATCCTCAATACACATGCGGTTGAAACAAGTCTTGCGCATGAGGAATGTCGGTCAAGGCCTACGGCACACCTTGCCAAGGGTGCCAAGTCATCAACATCTCACATGTCGGAAAATCCCTCAATGCACGTGTGGTTATCATCCATATCGAACAAGGGAAGGTACATATGATGGTGCAATCCACAAACCCATATTCCAATATTATATATATATATAGTCCCACTTCCCAGTCAATATGTAATAACCCAAACCTTAATTAATATTTAATTAATAATTTAATAGAGAAAAAGACTATTTTACCCTTGGAATAATTTATTAGGTTTAAAGTTGATTTTTAACCGGGAAGGAATTTGGGAAATCCGCTTGTACCGTTGCGTAGAGCGCAACAAAACAAGTCCATAGACACGTAGTGGGCAAAATTGTAATTTTGGAAAATCAGATTTCTGACTTTCTCCTTCTCTCTCTCCTCACTCTCTCTTCTTCCTCACACGACCACCCCCCCCCCCCTTGTTTTTCTTCACCCCCCCAACCCCNNNNCCCCCCTTGTTTTCCTTCAGCCCGCCAACCCACCTCCAAACTGCCACCAATGACCGCCATAGCCCATCGGACCGGTCAGGATCTGACTGGCGTCACCCCCGCAGCCAAGCCCCGTCCCTCCTTCCGCCTTCCGCCGCTGCGAACCGACGGAAAAAAATAGAAAATCCCATCGGTTTTGACAGGATTTCGTCGGCTCCATTCGTCGTCCTCCGGTCGCCAAATCGGACGAATTAGGTATGGATTTCTAGCTATTTTCCATGATCTAGCTGAAGGTTGGGTATGATTTGAGAAATGTTGAGGTTTCAAGGGTACATTTTGGATTCAAAATTCTACCAGTTTTGGGACGCCGATTCCGGCCACTTACGGCCACTTTTTAGCCATAGTCCAAGAACAGAAGTGGTTCCAAATTAGGTGTTTTACCTAGGGTAGGAGTTTGGGCCTGCAGTTTGGAGAATTTCCGGCCGTTGAAATTTGTTAGACACACCCACGCGTTGCCGGCGCGTGAGCCAGGTGTCAAGGACCACTCTTGGTCCTAGAATGATCCTCGTGTCCTCACGAGTGCATAGGAATTTGCGGATGTCAATTCAGACAACGTTTGAACCCTGAACGGATCTCGTATATTGCGCGATTTTCGAGTTCAATACGTTTGGACCATTGGATCGTAGTCAAACTAGAATATGTTGATCTAGGTAATTTTAGGATTGTGTAGGATTCAATGGATCATGAATCGGAGTCCCGGATACTCCAAAAATGCAAACCCTAGGGTTAGGATTACGGAAAACTATCCGTCCGTCCGATCATGTGATCGTGAGCAACCGACCGTCCGATCGAGATCAAACTTTCAGTACGAGTATAATTAAGAAAATGATTTAGTTTTATAACTGTTTTTACAGTGGGGTTAGTACGTTCTTATGTATTTTCAGAAAACTTTGTTTTTGGTCCACTCACCTTTTTAATGTTTTGCGCCCCCAGGCAGTAGTCGTGCTTCAGTGCACCACCACTAGGCCGAGACCACTTACCGCTACGACATTTGCTTATGTAGGGATTTGTATAATTATTTTATACTTGTAACCTATTATGTGTAGATGCTCTGGTATTGCCCTAGAACGCATGTTTAACTATTAGAATGTAATTATTAGCATGCTGGCAGTTGGTGTACATATTTACATTTTTGTTTAACAGATGTAATTTTGGGATTGGTCAAATTGCAGGGGAGACTCTGCCAAATTTTTGGCAGAAGTCAAACCAAGGTTTTATTAAAACCTTGACTAGAAAGGCAATTAGGTCATTTGTGCCCGGCACTTGCCAGGTGTCGGACACGCACAAGGTTTGACTTGGATTCCAAAGTAGAATTTGGGTCGGGTCCTGTCAACTTGGAATCAGAGCATTAGGTTAACTTCCTGTAGAGTTTCTTGTGACAGAATCATGGGCTGTAAACGTGGTGGCACTCGCCGAGGGACTAGACAGTCGTCCCGACTTAGGGGACAGGATCCCCATCCTAAACCAGAACAAGTAGAACAGTCTCAAGTGGGAGGTCGAATAGGGGCCGCACCAATGACGGTTCTCAAGTGGGACATGTTTCTGGAGGCAAATCTAATTCCCTTAGATATGTTGTGTTTTTTATGTAATTCTGGGCATGGATTGGTTGGCCAAACATCATGCCTCAGTAGACTATTTCAGGAAAGAGGTCGTGATCTGTAGTCCCGGATGACCTGAGCTGACATTTTATGGTGAGCGTAGAGTCCTTCCATCTTGCCTCATTTCAGCTATGACGGGAAGACGATTGCTCGGGAAAGGATGTTCAGGATATTTGGCGCATGTTATTGACACCCGAGATAGTGGATTGAGGTTGGAGGATTTTCCAGTGGTACAGGAATTTCCAGATGTGTTTCCAGAGGATCTTCAAGGTTTACCACCTCACTGAGAAATTGAGTTCACTATTGAGCTCGTCGCAGATACGAACCCCATTTCTCAGGCGCCGTACAAAATGGTACCAGCAGAGTTAAGGGAGTTAAAGACTTAGTTATAGGAGCTGGTGGATAAGGGTTTCATCTGACCCAGTTTCTCACCATGGGGCGCTCCAGTGTTGTTTGTAAAGAAAAATGATGGCACTATGAGATTGTGTATTGACTACAGGCAGCTAAACAAGGTCACATGGGAGACTCTGCCAAATTTTTGGCATAAGTCAAACCAAGGTTTTATTAAAATCTTGACTAGAAGGCCAATTAGGTCATTTGTGCCCGGCACTTGCCAAGTGTCAGACACGCACAGGGTTCGGCTCGGATTTCAAAGTGGAATTTGGGTCGGGTCCTGTCACAACATGCAAACCTTTATACATAATAATGATAATGACAATAATTGTAATGATAACAATAGTAAAAACCATAATAATAATACCGATAATAATAATAGAAATTTAGTTAAATACCCATTCCTAGACATAAAACTATAAAAATACCCTATACTATTTAATGTATATAAACACACCCAAAAATCAACAGCTGTATATTTTTAAATTTAATTATTAAGATGAAAGTCCTTTATTACCCTTTTTAACATAAAATTGGAATTCTAATCAATACCAGATCATAACTCATTTCACGACCTCCAATCTTTCATCTTCATCTTCAACCCCAATTTTCAGTTTTTGTTCTTCCACCTCAGTTTTCGTTCAACCTCATCGTTCTAAGCTTCGTCGGAGGGCTCGCCTCGGCCACCGACAATGATGCGCTGGAGAGGGCCTTTTCTCTGTTCGGTGAGATCATCGAATCGAAGGGCCATTTGACGCATGTTCTTTCTCTGCTACTTGATCTTCTGTTTCTCTATGTTACTTGATCTTTCTCTCCCAAAGATTGAAGATCAATCGATTCCTTTTCATTTTTGTTTATTATTGTGTATTTGTTTGATTATACTCCGACGTTTTGGTTTTGATGGACGAATCTGATTTGATTTGATTTCTTTTTGTGTTTCCAGATCATCAATGACCGTGAGATCGGGAGGTCCAGGGCCTTCGGCTTCGGCTTCGTCACCTTCAGCAAAGAGAAGGCCATGAGGGACGCGATCGAAGGCATGAACGACCAGAACCTCGACAGTCGTAACACTGAGGCCTACATTATTCATTAAACTTCTAGTGGTGTACTGCTGATTACGATTTGGGTTCCATTTTCATAAAATAAGTTGTTGGATAATTGGACTTGGTTGACATGATATTCTGAGCCTAAGGTTGAGCACTCTCTCAAGTTACAGCATTTGAACTTAACTATCTTTGTGCTCTAATGTCATGGTCATAGAATCATGACTTCGTTGTATTTGCATTTCATGATATTATATATATATGCCTTAGAAATTCTTGGCTTGGGATCTATGGAGTTCACCATATGACTTTTGGGACCTACAGGATTCACCAAATCATCAAGGTTTCCCTAACTTCTCTTGCACCATGCTGGCTAGTTTTCATATTGAAGAAATACATTGTTGTAGATCTTATCTTAGGTGCATGTGGCTGTAGAGTTTGTACTAATGTTAGTTGAACTGAATGCTTGCTTATCAGTTACAACTGGGAGCACTTATCGCGCAGAATCTGGATGGGAGTGCGACTTCTACTTCGGTTGTGGTCGTGGTATAATATGTTTCTTTCTATCTCATTGGTGTCATTCCTTGTTTTCACTGTTTGTGCTTTAATAGCCACATTGGTCTTTTCTTATGGTTATAGATCTGATAGAAGAAGATGCAATAAATGAGAAATGATACATACAAGTGTTGGCTGCTGCTTAAAAGTATTGTTTATTATTGTTCATGTGGTCTCCATGTCATATCTAATTCAGTCCATCACAGAATTGCAAATTCTGTTAAAACATCTGGGACTCTAAGGGAGAGACTGTTTCAAACTGCCTACAGTTCCAAGAAGCAATCCATAATGAGTGGTAATATACACTAATAACTTCACCTTCTCATAGGCTATTACTTAAGTCATGCTGTTGTTAAATTTCTCTATGTTAAACAATTCTTTCAGGTTCGAATGGATCACCAATATGGGACAGATTGGTGTTCAACAAAATAAAGGAAAAGCTTGGAGGACGAGTTCGTTTTATGGGATTCGGTGCTTCACCCTTGTCCCCTGATGTCATGGACTTCCTTAGAGTGTAAGTTGGCTATCTTATAGAATGCAATTTTAAAAAAAATTTCATTTTTTTTTTCTCAAGTGTTAAGACCAATGAAATTTTTGCTGCATATGTAACGAAAATCGTAGGTGCTTTAGCTGTCAAGTAATTGAAGGATATGGTATGACAGAGACTTCTTGTGCCATGAGCATGATGGATGAGGGTGACAACTTATCTGGCCACGTCTGGTCCCCTAATCCTGCCTGTTGTGAGTTTACCAGACTTATCATACACAAATGTATATAAGAATTTGCTGTTAGATAGCATATTATCTTATTCTAAGTGTCACATTTCGGATTCTTCAATGTTTATGGTATGTGGAGTGATGAAGGATCAATTATTTATGCAAATGAAATGATTTAATTGATTTTGAGTGGTATCACGTTGTACACTTTTATCGTATCGATTATGCAAATGAAATGATGTAGTTGTTAACTTCCAGTGACTGGTATGAACAGTATAACAACAGTTCATACCTTGCAACTGAGTTGATTTCTATGACATGGTATTAACAGTGTACTTCTATGACATAGTATTAACAGATTTTCAATAACAAAGCATGCTCTATATTTTGCTCTATATATATGGTTGTGCACTTGAAGTTTTTTTTTGTATGAAATGGTATTAACAATGGTTTTTTTGTAAGAAATTGTATTAACAATGTTCTGTTTGTATGAAATGGTATTAACAATGTCTTTTTGTATGAAATGGTATTAATAATGGTTTTTTTTTTTGGTATGAAATGGTATTAACAATGTTTTTTTTTTTTTTGTTATGAAATGGTATTAACAATTTGTTTCTATGAAATGGTATTAACAATATGTTTCTATAAAATGGTATTAACAATGTACTTCTATGATATGGTATTAACAATGTATTTCTATGACATGGTTTGCAGAGGATCAATGGAGAAGGAAGGATCGTGGGGACATGCCCTTGGTTTTCGTGTTTTTTTTTTTTTTAAATACTTAAGTTTGGGTTTTTTTAAAAGTCTGAGTTGGGCTTGTTTTGGGTCTTTTTGTGATTTTTGTATTGGGCTTCTTTTAAGTTAGTTAGTGGCAGTCATGTAATTTATAAGAAATTCAACACTCATTTTGTATGTAGTAAATGATTTTTGGGTATGTTTCTAAAGTGTATTTCATGTAGGGTTTTTTTATAATTTCAGCCCCTATTTTGGGTATATTACTAAAGCTCCCTAATAATAATGACTATATATTCTCAGAAATCCTCATCACTATAAAAAATTGAAACCAATCCGATAATACCTTTTCATAACCTCCTTAACCAAAAAAAATTAATTTCCAAATTCATACTAAAAAAACATATGCCTTATCTTCAACAATCAATACCAGTAAGATCATACGATATTGTTAAAACCAACATCAGATATGCATACAATCTCACTAATCCCATAATCCGATTAGACCATACTTTCCATAATCTAATAAATAAAAAATAGACCACATTCTCATTCAAATTTATGCATGCAATTCAATGTTTGGAAAAACAACGCTTATTTTATTTTATTTTTTTAAACCACATCCCCTCACAACTACAACATACTAAATGACCTCAACTGAGCCGACATGGCCCACTATCCAAGTCAACTGGGAACGCAAGGTCCATGACCTCCAGTTTGCTATCCAACAATTTCTATTAGCCCTTATTAGGAAGTTAAGCTCATCCCAAGAGTTTCATCACGAGTCGATAGTTAATTTGACCTCGATCGTGGAACTTGGTTAATTAGGCCCGTTGGGCCCGTGACCTCCAATTATTGATTAGTAAGTTCCTATCAGTCCCACAATGTATACTTAACAAGTTCTAAGTGTTTGGTCTTGATTGATCGGTCGGGTCGCTCCTGACCGTACGATCGGATGGTAGTCGTTTTACATAACCCTAAACTCATTGATTTGGAGTACCCAAGATTCCAATTCTCGATCTATACCATTAGAACCACCACACCTAGGGAAACGTGTTTTGGTCTTGGAACCCAGCCAAAAAGTGGCCAGAGCTAGCCGGAAAAGCACCTCACAGTCGGAGAAAAACCTAGGTTTTAGATCGAACTCTAAACACTCCAAATTGATCCTAACCAACCATACCATTAGCTAGAGCATGTTGAGTAGATGAAGAATCATACCTGGATCGACAAATTTGGTGGCCGGAGTCCCTAGAAACGGCATCGAAAAATTATGAAACAACCGGAGCTTTAGAAGCTCTTAGCGCCTCCATGAGTGGTTGTCGTGGCTGGAAAGTTAGCCAGATGAATTCGCCTTCCCTGGCCGGTCATTTTCCAACCGATCCCGTCTCCAGTGGTGGCTAGACAGGTCTGATTCCTCGTCGGGAAGTCGAACAGTCACTATTTGCATAGTGACTGTATCGTAGGAGGAAGAGAGAGAGAGAGAGAGAGAGAGAGAGAGAGAGCTGGGTATTTAAGATTTTTGGACAATTTCAATAATTCCCGATACGTCCTTTCTATTTTTAGACCTTTTCTCATTCGTTACAACTCGGAATTGAGCGTGCCTCCAGTCCACGAACTCGTATCGGCGAGCTCTACCTAACGGTGCCACCCAATTTCCCAATTTCCTACCCAAACAAAAAGGGACTAAACTACCCTTACCCCCAAGGGCAAAAATGTAATTTCATAATTAAATAATTAAATAAACCCTTAAATTGGGTCGGGATGTTACAAATCACTCTAGATCACGCAGAGGAATGGAAGTCTTTTGTTGGTCAAAATTGACTTCCGAGTATGGCTTGAACCGTTGGCCATGTACTTTGAAAATAGTGCCTTTTTCTTCATGTCAAACTTCAATAGCTCCAGAAGGAAACCTTTGCAAGATTGTAAATAGAAGAATTAAATAGGAGAAATTTCTAACCAGCAAAGAAATCCTTCCTTAGAATATGCTTATCATGCCACTTCTTTGTACATTCCATATAAATCTTGGCAGCCTCATAAGCTTCATTACGAAACTCATCCATCTCATTCAATTGAAGTGCCCGTTTTTCACATGCAACAATCATGTCAAAATTGAGTGTTTGGATTGCCCAATATGCCTTATGTTATAACTCCACTGGTAAGTGACAAGCCTTCCCAAAAACTAGACGATAAGGCGACATGCCTATTTGAATATCATCCAATAAGCCCATAATGCATCATCTAATTTCAATGACCAATCCTTTCTTGAAGCACTCATTGTCTTTTCCAAAATTCTCTTTAATTCTCTATTGGAAACTTCAACTTGCCCACTAGTTTGTGGATGATAAGGCGTGGCAACCTTGTGGGTAATGCCACATTTTGCTAGAAGAGAATTAAATTGACCATTGCAAAAGTGTGTACCTCTATCAAAGATGATGGCACGTGGAGTCACGAACCTGGTGAAAATTTGATAACATCCTTGGCATCATTTGTAGGGAGAGCGACGGCTTCAATCCATTTCTACACATAATCAACAGGCAGAAATGTATAATTATTTTTCCAAGATTCTGGAAAATGTCCCGTGAAATCTATTCCCCAAACATTGAATAATTCAACCTCGAGAATATTATTCAATGGCATTTGCTAGAAATATTTCCAATGCATTGGCATCGATCACAAGGAGCTACAAATGCGTAGGCATTCTTAAACAAAGTTGGCTAGAAAAATCCGACTGCAATTCTTTTGATGCGGTTTTGGAGGCACCAAAATGCACCCTAACAGAACCCGTCCCGAATTCCTTAGAATCTGTGATGAACCCTGTGGTTTTCCGACATCAAACCAATGCCGGGCTCACTTACTAACAACATCCTCTTCTCCGAAAACAAAGGAAAAGAGGCTCAAGACTTTCTACCGAAATTTCGGCCAGTCTCCCCTGAAAAACGAACTTTACCAAATTTTTCAGCCTGTCAAAAACACAGTTTAAAATCACCAAACTTTAGCATCAAAGACTCTACAATAAAAGATTTCACATTTCAGCCCCTTTAACTATTACTTATCCATAAATGACTCTACACAATTAAGATGCAAATGATTTCAATCAGGAACCTTCTAGGTTGTTTCATTTGAAAGACAAAATCTTTGGTCCCCTCTATCTGCTGTTTCTCTGGGGTCAATTCCAAAATGTAAATTCTAAAACCAAACACAGAGTCAAATTGCAGACAGAAAGAGAGAAGTCTCCTTCTCCCACTAAGAGTATCTTCTGATAGCTGCTGTAATGCTTAACCTTTCTCCTTCCAAGATTCATTTCCACACTTAGAATAATATAAGCACAGCTCAAACAGTTTATTTTGCGACTGCACCTTGGTTAAACCCTAGGCTACCTACGTACCCCTTTGTGAGGGATCAAGCCACACGTAGTTCTTAAATCAACAATCACGATTCAAATAATATACGATTATTTAAAGTCATGCCAACGATTAAATTTAGATTCATTTACAACATTAAATTCGACAAGGCAACCACTAAACACTTTATAAGTTCCTTTCCTTTTATCATTCTTTCCCGCAACCATACCCTATCCAAGGCGTACATTGCGAAACAACACTTTCCAAACTATAAATCAAACGTTCATACCTGTGCATAGTAGTGAACATTGTATTTTCTTTCAATTTTCAAAGTTCTCTCAGAGTTATAGACCTGAGGCAACTACAATAGTTGTGAGTGAGAGTGGAGTGTGAGTGTCCTGCGTGGCATTGCTTGCTTTCACTGAACTAAGATTTCTGTAAGTTCTTACTTTGTTTGTCAAAGCTTCCTCAGTTAATAATATTTCCAATTAATATTATTTTCTGAGTTATCTTAATAATCCTTCAAATTCTAATTTATGAGTATACAATTATTCTCAATAATTTGTATTTTCAATTTGATTCAATCCAGTTATCTCATAGTTTTTCATTTATACAATTTATTCTCTTATGTTCATTTTCTACTTAATTTATGATAGGTTTATATATTTATATTTTAATAGTGTGCATTTACTCCATTCTAAGCTTTTATTATCACTTGCTCTGATTCTTCAAAGCCTTCTTCTTCCTCCAAATTGATTATCTAAGTCATCACCTCCATTAGACAAAGTCTCCTTGCCCTAAAGTCTTCAAGTCATTAAAAACATAAGCCAAATGAAAGTCAAGTCTTCCGCCTATAACTAGTTAAATATCCTTTTTAATCTAGTACTTCTAGATTATAGGTCCTAGTCCCCTTCTGTTATCAGAGCCGAAAGAGTTG